ATCATGGTCTCCATGTCAATGACAGATGACACTGTTGTAGAAACAGCATTCCTGTGACTATTGCTGATTGAAAAAAACACAAAAACCATAGATGTATGAAAAAAAAAACCTGAGAAAAATCTCAGGTCTCTCTACTTCTCCTTTTTTTTGATGAAAATGATGCAAGCATCTGACCTCACACCCTGATAAAGTTATCGTGCTTCTCTGCCGCATTCCACATCAGGTTTCATGTTTCATATTTCAAAGTGAACATGTGGTTTTCTTTTTTCAGCTCTTGCACGAAGGAAGCTTAAGCTCTTCCTCTACAGAGATATGAAGATGATACTTCTTGTGACTCCAGCTGTTTGCTGTGGGCCAGAAGGCTCTGAAAGCATAATACAGTCCACCTGTGCAATATAGCTGAGCTATCAGGAGTGCTCAAGGACTGCAGGCAGTGGAATACTGTGTGGGAAGTCCTGGGCTCTACTGCATTACAAAACTTAAAAATGTGACCTCAGACAATTGCCTTTACCTTTCCATGCCTTAGTTTTTATTTCTGCAAATGAAGATAATGAGGCAACTACCACACAAAGTTATTGTGAAGTGTAAAGGAGTGTGGTATGCCCCATTCCTGGAAGGGCAGCTTGGACATGGTAAGTTGCTGCTGGCTGTTCATTCCAGTTCTTATCAGAAGGAATAACCAGCAAGGACTAGAAATGCAATCAGGTAAATCATGCTCAGCACTGCCTTCCCTTCATACCCAGCCCTATGTCCATGAACTCGGTGATGACTCAGCCTTGGCACCATCCCTGCCCTGCAGCACAGGAATTTTTCGCTTATATAACAGAAATGTACACAGCTGCCCCTCCCCAGCACTTCTCCTACAACACATGAAGTTACGAGCCCTAGCAATACCAGCTTCTGACTCCTGAAGCACAAATTGAAAATTCAGAGTGGTGGATCTGACTGGGGACAGGAGCTGATCTTCATTCACTTAAGATCCAAGATTAAAATTAGTTTGAGCTTGTTGTTCACGTGGCAAAAGTAAGTTGGATGCCAGAAAAGTTGGATGCAGGTTTAAATAAGGGCACAGATGAGTCACTAAGTAGGCAACAGACAGAAAAATAAAACAACTATAGTACAGGTAAATTCTGAAGAATTAGCTGATGGTAAATCATGGGGTTAGTGCAAGTCCCAGGAGCACCAGGCGAAGATGTTTACTATCGAAAAACCCAGAGTACAGGTTTGAAATATAGTTGTTGGTTTAAGCCAAGAAGAGTATCTGTTCTCTGAAAAGGAGGGCCAAAACTCAAGCAGAAGGTATTTCAGAAAGATCTGAGATGACTCACTTGATGGCAAGGGCCCCTGTTGGCACACTGAGATTGTGGTGTGGTGCCCCAGGGTGCAGGAAGCAGCCTACTGACGTGAACTCCCGGGGAGTTTTCATTTAAAAAAAAAAAAACCAGTATTGAACACTGTTAAAATACCTTTCAGAATGGCTATTTTCAAGAAACCAACCAATAAAAATGCTGGAGAGGTTGTGGGGAAAAGGAATGCTTCCCACTATGGTGGGAGCATAGCCTGGTGCAATCACTGTGGAAACCAGTCTGGAGATTCCTCAGAAACCTAGGACTAGAGGTCCCATTCCACCTAGCCATTCCCCTTTTAGGTATCTTTCCAAAGAAACTGAAAACATCATACCACAGTGCTATATGTGCACCCATGATTACAGCAGCACAATTTGTAACAGCCAGATCTTAGAAATAACCTAAATACCTATCAACTGAGGAGGGTAAAAAGATGTGATATTTTTATACAATGGAGTACTCCTCAGCCATAAAGAAGGACAAACTGGAGACTTTTATAGGCAAATGGATGGAACTTGAGACCATATTCATAAGTGAAATAAATAAGACATATGTATTGTCTCACTAGTGTGAGAAGCTAAAACAGCATATGTATATGTATAAATATTGCTATATATAACAAAAGAAATACCTTTCAGTAATAGATATATTAGCTAAAAGGTTCTATTAAGATGAAGTCCATCTGTAAGTAGTTCATATGCCTTATATGGCAGTTAGATTTTAATATCTAAAACCTAAGGATTCTCTAAGGGCTAGAGCACTATCTAGTATTTGGGTGATAACTAAAAGCCACGTGGTTTCTCAGTCTCAGTCACTCTCACACTCTTAAGACTCTAAAGAATTCAATGGCTATGGAGACTTAATTAAGCCCTGCACATATAGAACCTTCCAAAACAGCTTCCTGGAATGAAACTGGAATGAAGGCCCAGAGAAAGCAAGCATGCTTATTTATGATGAAGGAGAAATTACTTCCATTTCTGAACATATAGTACGAGGCAAAGCATAAGGCTCCTCTCTCTGCCTGAGGAGAGCTCTCCGGCAGGGACCGAATCTGTAGCACTGTGCATCGATTGACGAGTGCTGGGCATGTGGATTGCTGTGGCCTCCCATGCAGCCAGGAGACAAAATGAAGGGCCTCTTCTACAGTGCAAACTGTAACATCATACCAACTTTTCTCCTTTGACTGAATAAATGAACATGGAAGAAAAAAAGCAAGAGCCCACTTCTAATTACAAGAGAAGACTCACTTCACCGCCCCACACCACTACACAGGAGGTGTTATGTAACCAGGGAAGGTATGTGCTAATAATTACAATAACAGCAGCTCCGGGTCATGGAGAAATATGTTGCAGGTGCTTAAGCGTTTTGTATACTTTAATCCTTAAGCTTAAATTTTTACATCTGTAAACTGAGAACAGCACACCTATTTCATTTGCAAGGTGCGGCAGCAGAATTAAATAGTTTCCAACAGACAGACCTAGACCTGGGTTAAAATGCCAGCTCCAAATTCTAGTATTTGATCTTGTTCATCTTCAGTTTTCTCATCTCTGATGTGGAGATGAAGCTACCCACCCACCTCAAAGGCCTTTAGGGAGGGACTGAGTGAGACACTAAGTCAAACACCATCTGGTATCTGTATCGCTACAAGGGCCCAATGAACATTTATATGTTGGCCTGCACTAGCAGCTGTTTGATAGCCACAGTATCCAAAGATGCATTTTCTTTAATAATAACAAAAATACTATCCAGATCAAGCTTCACAGGCCAGACAACAGCTCAACAGCTTCACATCTATGAATTCATTTAATCCTTACCACTGTTAATCCCATTGTACAGATGGAGATACTGAGGTAATGAGCTTAAGTAAGCTCCCCATATTCAAATAGATAGTACCACACTCAGCAGGCCAGCTCCACAGGCTACATATTCTCCTAACCACAAGGCAACACAGCTTCCTGAGCCAGCTGTTTGAGAGTCTGTGCTTCTAAGGAATCTCCACTAGAGATAAGCACCGGATGGCTGCTCTCACAAACTGCAATGTGTTAAGTTTATAATTCCTGCAATAACACTTCTCGTATTTTCTTAGAATGACATTTCAAATAAGGTATCCGTCGTGTTTCACTTGCTGAAATACTATAAATAAGTTCACTTCTCTCTAAAGATTATCTAAATAAATCTTAACATAAATACACACCCCTGAATTTAGGTTTACACAATTATTTCAAGTCCAAATTTACTCATGTATATATTTACTCACGTATATTTCTTGCTCTATATGTGTGTATGTGTGTATGGCATTTCTTTTTTTTAATCTAATGACTTCTATGCCAAATACACCAAACATTTCCCTTATCTTTAATATTCATTATCTATCAGCCAGACAGCAGTGCTGTATGGTATTTCAAAGTACTTCTTTTAGAAATTTAATCAACTCCAGTATTAAACATCAATGGTGATAATCTATTGCTCTGCCTAAAAGGAATCTCTAGGGACAGCTGAGAAAGAAAGGTTAAAGATTTCTATCCTTCAAAGTAGGCCACTGCAGCTACCTATAAATCATGCTCTTTGTTTATTAAGATAATTAAGCCCATCAGTACACTTAACTTCCAGACTCAACAATTGTCTGGGATAAACAATTTCCACTTTTTCTAAAACAAAGGGGATGTGTTCAAAAGGGGTCCTCTGCATGCTCTCTGCACAATGCGTGCTATTTTAAAACATGATTTATGTGTCTAATTCCTGGAGCTGCCTTGAAAAATATTCTGGGTTCTTCCTCTCCTGCTCGCTATTAGGAGGAGGCACTCCAATCTGAAGAGTGCACTCTGTTTCTGACTACAGGCCGCTATATCATGTCAGCGTTTTCATTAAATACTGTTCAAGCTACACTTTAAACAAATGGAATGGAGGGCCACAGCTGCAGCCACTGCAGAGCAGCAAAGTTATCCAGCTGGGAGGGAGGCTTACATAAGCGATGCAGGACGACCAGGATGAAACCCAAGTACCATCATCTGAATTCTATTTTCTGAGACTTGCTTACATTCTTAAAGTGCGTGAAATCACATGCACTGTGCGTGTTTTACATTTTATATGCCTTCGAGTGCAAAATACTGGGTTGACATATAAGTTGTTTTTGGGGTCCCCCCCCCAAAGAACGAAGCTCCAATTATGGGAACACTGGCAACTTCTGCCTAGGGAAACAGTAAAGTGGGATGCGCGGGAAGCCTACAGGCCTGAGAAGGAAAGGCTTAGTTTCCTTTCACAAAGATTCATCAAGTGCTGGCCATCCGAGTACCACAGGAACAGTCCCTACGCTTAAGCATAGAGGTGACAAGACCCTGGGACCCTCACTCCCAACACTCACAGGCAGGCACTGAGTCAAGGAGCTCGGACAGTGCAGTGAGCGAGATAAGCCCTCAGGTCACCTGTCCTCCCTCAGCACATTTCCAGCTGGCACAGTCAGGGCTGGAGCCAGGCAGCTTGGACTCCAGCCTCTTCTGGCCGCCGCCGCGCGCGCCCTCCTCCTTGCACTCCTCCCTCAAATTGCAACCCGCTAACCAGAGATGCCACCTCCCGGTTCCCATAGCACGGAGACAGTACAAACCTGTCTTTCTATCCCACAGCTCCCTCCAACTTCAGAAACTACAGGCAACTCACCGGGACGCAGGTGGCACCGTCTCCGGGGGGGTTGCGCTCCGTGGCACCCCTGCAAACTCCGGCTGCGCGCAGTCCCGCTGACCCCACAGTGGACCCCGGGCGGCAGCTCTGCACCAGCGGCCACTGCTCTGCGTGCCCAGCCCCGGAACCCACTCTCCGGAGCGCACGGGCGGCTGCCACTAAGCTGCACCCGGCCGCGAGGACCCGGGCGCTGCAGCTGCCGCGAGCCCCGGCACGCTGCGCTCGGAGCTCCTGGCGCGTGTCTCCGGCTCCCAGGGAGTCGCCGTTCAACTGGAAACCCCGCAGGAGAAGAGCCGCGGTGCTGCCTCCGGGAGAGCCGCCAGCCCGCCCCCAGAGGATCGGTCACATCCCGGGCGCGCGGGTGAGCAAGCGAGCGGGCTGGCAGGCTCCGCAGTCTGCGCTCGCCGCCGCCGCGCCGCGGTGAATGACAAGCGCTGAGGCGGAGCAGCCGCGCGGGGCGCCGGGCGCGGGGCGCGAGTGCGCATGTGCGCGGCCCTCTGCGGCACGTCACGGGAGGGGGTGAGGGCGGGGCGTGAGCGGCAGAGCCGGGCGGGGTCGGGGCTGCCAAGCTGCGGTGCGTGCTGTCTGCCGGCTGGAAGGTGCAGGAAGTCTGCAGCCTTGGGTTTTGTAAACGTCAAGCTCTGCGGGTGAACTTGTTTGTCTCTGGAGCTCATTGTCCCTTAAAAAGCACTGTTTATCTAAACAGTCTTCAAGGTCCAGGCGTGCCCACGAGGCTCATTTAAGACAGGTTATTGCTTAACCGTGGGCTGCAGTTGGGGCGGTGGTGGGGTAATAGCCCTTCATCTTGGCTGTACATTCAGATGACTTGGGGAGCTTGTAAGAGCCCTTTGCTCTGGCCACACCCCTAGAATAAGCACAGAGAATCTAGGTGGGGCCCAGGTCTGAAGTTTGAAGGTTTCCAGGAGCTTCTCTAGGGCAAAGCAGTGCTTCTCCGGCCTTCAATGTGCGACAGATTCCTTAAGATGCAGATTCAGATTCAGTGGGTACAGAAGGCTGGGGGGCTGGGAGTGTCTTTATTTTAAGGAGCTCCATATGATGAACAAGGCCCATACCACTCCATCCTCCCTACTCAGAGTAGAACCCAGAGTAGAACTTCTGAAATGTTGGTCTGCCTGAGAATCATTCCAGGAGCTTTTAAAAATACTGAGCAAATTCTCAGCCCCCAGCCACAGTGGTTCTAGTTCAATTCCTGAGCAGGTGTGGGGCTCTGGCATCCCACATATAACAAGCACCCTAGGTAACTCATAGGACTTTTGGTTTCAGGTTATTACACCAGCAGACTGGAGTTGGGAAGACTTTGTAATGACAAAGAGACAAGTCAGGTCTAGAATTCAGGACCTCTCACCTCAACTCCAGTACATTTTACGCTGTGTTTTGCCTGAATGTCCGATTTTCCTACAAGTATTACTTAGCTGTCCTTAGCAGGAAAAGAAAAAAAAGCATACAAATTATATTGAACATAAGCACATACACTATTTTGAACATTTGTTTTATATATATATATATATATATATATATTTTTTTTTTTTTTAAATGTTGGCTGGGAAAAAGGCTCAAGATGAACAGGGAGGAGCACAGTGTGACAGACTAAGGGATGCTAGCCCGTATAGTGGAAGGGTGTAGGAAGAAGCAAACCTTCCACACAACCTTGAGCTTGCAAAGGTGCTTTGAGGACAGAAACCTAGGGCCTAGGCTTGGCTTCCTGCTTCAGAACGTGGCATGAAATTCAGATGTGAAAAAGCTTATGAAAGTATGAATTTCACTATGTTGCTTCACTGAATTCCACAATAGTCTTTTTAGATTTAAAACATAGTGTGCCCATTTTACACATTAAAAGGACACATTGGACGTTAAATGATTGTTCTAGTGGAAGCTTGGATCTAAGTGTATGATGTGGCTTCTGTAACTAAGGAAAGCGATTCAGATCGTAGAAGGAAAATGGTCCCTGTATTTACTATTCAGATTTTTAAAGTCTGTGCCTAAATTTAGGCTTTCCTTTTTGTAGGATGGAAATGCAGTTTATATCTTAATCCAATTTTGCACCTCCACATACTGCACCAGGATTGTAACCTCATTCTAAGGACATCTGAGCCCCAGAACATTGCAGTTACACAGGACAGGCATCACAGAGGAGCTTGAAGGGCAATAGCAGCATTTTCTGGCAACAAGTGTAATTGCTATCCTAATTTTACCCAAGCCAGAAACCAATTGGTGTAACTAGAATCACTAACACCAGCAGGGCCAGTCTCATGTCTCTGTCCCTTTCCTCTGTTGTCTTCACCAAGTGATAAACTGAAAATAGTTTTTCATTTCCAAATTATTGGCATCAAGATTTGCCATCAGTAAATTAGACCCGAATATATCTCAAAGCCAGTTCTTGTGGTGGCAGTAAATGCTGTGCATTGTACTCTTAGTCTAAGCAAAGTTTGGGTAGCAAGTAGGTGATAGTTACAGGTAGTCTTCCAACCCACAGATTGGCCTGGGAATGCTACTCCCTGCCCACCTTTATCTTCACTGCCCATGTAACTCTTCCACCAGAGCCATTCTTTTGCTTGTGAAATAAAAACAAATAAATTCCTAAGAAAGTGTCTGGGAGGAGCCCACCAAGAAGCCAACTAGCCAGCCCTTCCGGAAAGCCATGCGAGCTGTGTGGGGCCTAGGAAGAGAAAAGTCAGATAGTGTCTCCTGTAAGACTACCAGGTGTGGGGGCTGAGAATCAACACATCCACCCCCACTCCTTCCTTAAGCAACTAGCTGGTTCAGAGGACAGGCTGAGTTGACAGCAACTGAGGTACAAAAAGCAACTGAATGCTTGTATTGTTTGGTTGACTTTGCAGGCCTGGGGCCAATAGTCTGAGCATCTATTAGGAGGATAACAATATGCAATATAGAAAACATGGGGCATTTCCTTCTATCTTGTCTATGAACTCCAATATCATTCTTTCTGTTTTGTTTTGTTCTGATTGTTTTGCCTTATTCAATGTTCTGTTTTGATTGGAATGGACAAATTGTGAAGATAACAGATATACTATGATGGCTATTGTTGTTTTCCTAGTGTCCTGCTTTAAAGTTCTGTACCAATTTCAGTGCTATGTTTTGATTGGCTTTATTCTGTTTTGTTTTGTTGGATTTTATTATCTTTAAAATAAAAGCAAACAAATACAAAGAAAGTATGGGAGCTACTACACTACAGGTTGTGGGACCTAGTTCAGTTTTTAATAAATTATTTAAATTTTTAAAAATGGGAACTTGGGGTATAGCTTAGCAGTAGAGAGCTTGCCTTGCATTCTTGAGACCCTGAGTTCAATCCTCAGTACAGCAATGAAAAAAACAATAAAAAAGATAATAAGATTAAAAAAGATTATAGTTACACTGGGATACATCAAGTGAAGACTCCAAAGTTGTGTACTGTTTGAATTCATTTTCTTACTGATTTCATGAGATCCAGGATTTAATTATATAAAAAGTTAATTAGTATAGCCTACTACTATTGTATTTGAGCCACTGTTATTAGCATAAAACACTTGAAATGTGTGATATTGTATTGATTGAGTCTTACTATCGACTGTGTCTGCATCTAGAATTTCTTATTAGCTATTGTTGTCTGGCGGGGATAGCAGCTACATTTTTTCCCTGAGGTCCCTATTCCTTATGGGTCAGCAAAGCCTGTGCTTCAATTGAGAATATCTTCATTCACAGCCCCAGAAGTGCCAGTAGAGAGATTTTTAATTATACAGATGCTAGAAGTGGCTCCAAACCTATTTTTCCTCTTATTCAAGAAACTGTACCTCACATAGGTTTTTATTAAAGTCTTTCTGCTAAGAATCACTGGCTGATCACTGAGATGTGAAACTTTGGCTCAAACATCCTCCACCTTATTAATTACATTTTTTATTCATTTCACTCAAAGGAATTCTTTGACCTTAAAATCTTCAACTCCTGTGTGCTCCATGGAAAGAACAGATAAAAGAACTGGGGGGCATTCAAGGTGACTAGTGAGCCTGAGCAAAGTTAGGAGCAAAGAATTATGGGCTGCTTGGTGAAAAATAAACTCACCATAAAAAAGCATACGCAAGTTGTACCTAATTTTTGGACAAGGTTTATCACAAAGTTTGCATCGTTTGAACACATGAAGCAGCATATAGCTCTACAGGAAACCACAACTAAATCCTTGCAGGGGTGAGGGTGGGGTGGGGGGCTGGATTAGCATTGTATCTTTTCCCCAGAGAAACTTTGAAAACCACTGAAAGCCCAATTCTTCTTGCCCTAACACAAGAAGCCTATGAAATTCCTGTATTTCAAATGTTCACATTTAAATTGCCTCATTTAGAACATAGAGCAGACATACAGTGATTAAAATACAGTACTACATAATTTAGATTTGCGGGCTTGCTCCTCAATGTTTTTGAGTCCACAAATAAATCAAGTGTTATACTTCTTTTTTCTGTATCCACAGGTTCCACATCTGAGTGTTCGACTGCAATAGTTGTAGGGCCGGGGAACTGTATAATGAGCACAAGCAGAATTTTCCTTGTCATTATCCTCTAAGCATTATATTATAATAACTATTTGCATAGTATTTATACTGTATTCGACATTAGTAGTCTAGAGATGATTTAAAATATGCAGGAAGATAGGAATAAGTTATGTGCCAATACTACATGGTTATTTTTATATAGACTTGAGCGTGTGCAGTGTGACAATAACAGGGAACCACTCACCCGTATTCCCCCAGGCATTAAGGGACTAGATGATTGGTAACTGTATAACCCCAGGCCTGAAAGGAAAGAGCTATTGGTAAGACTCTGGCCAGAGGCAGAGGTTGGTAGAGCTGCTGGGGAGAACGGGTTTAGGGACCACAATAGACAAATGGGACCTGGTGGAGACTGACTACCAACAGTGAGGTTGAGGAGTGGCCTGTGAGCAAGCAGAGAAAGGTCAGTTAAGGCTACACTGGCAACCTGGGGGAGGGGGGCTTGCTCCTACTTAAAATGGTGAGGTGTTCACATTTTACTTAACTGTAAACAGGAAATGATCAGAGAGTGTCACGTTGTAAATCCTTTAAACCTATGATACATGCTTTAAAGAAT